GCACTTTCCGGTGTGCCCTCCGCCCACGCGTGCTCCCCATCGCCCTTTCGCCCCGTGGCCTCGCGAGCGGGCGTTGTCCCCGCGGGGCTGCACCGCTCGGCGAGCACGCACCCAATTATTTACTCAGGCTGTGCATCCCAGGCCGGACGGCCCTCCCGGCCCCGTCGCGCCAATCCCGCGCTTCGCTGACCCACCCCCGCTACGTCAGCCCGCGCTGCCCCGATCGGCGACGCCCGCGTCCGCCCCCCGCTGCATCAAAGGCGGCCCTTTTCGCTGTTTCGCTTCACCCCTCGCACTGAGGTCCCTGCTCCGCGCTAACGCCTCACCCACCCGCCCCTCCCCGCCCCGCAACCACCCCACTGCTACGTCAGTCAACCGCCACGCCCACGCCCATCCCAAACCGTCTCGCCATGCCTTGCCCTGCTTGCTCCGTCCAACTCCGGCTAAGACCCACCACTGAGGTGCCCGCTCCACCTCGCCCCGCTCCTCCACGCCCCGCATATCGCAGTTCCACACACACCCTTTACCTGTCTATACTCTTCTCTCGAAACACCGGCCTTGCCTCCTACCCCTCCAAACGCACTCACTAATATCCGCCCACCAACTTTCCTGCGCGCCCGAACCCGCCCAGCCCGCCCTTACTCTTCCGCCCCGCCAGCTTCTACTACGACACGCCGCGCCCGATTTTCCCCGGCCCGTCCTGCCCCGCCTCCCCCGAAACTCGCCCGCCTCCGCCGCCTCGCCCCCTCGCCCCGCCTCGCCCGCCTGCGCCCCGCCTCGCCCCGCCTCGCCCGCTCGCCCCGCCTCGCCCCGCCTCCCCCGCCTCGCCCCGGCCTCGCCCCGCCTCGCCCGCTCGCCCGCCTCGCCCGCCGGCGCCCCGCCTCGGCCCGCCTCGCCCGCCTCGCCCCGCTCGCCCTCCTCGCCCGGCCTCGCCCCGCCTCGCCTCGCCCCGCTCGCCCCGCCTCGCCCCGCCTCGCCCGCGGCGCCCGCTCGCCCGCCTCGCCCCGCCTTCGGCCCCCCCCACGGCCTCGCCCGCTTCGCCCGCCTCGCCCCGCTCGCCCCGCCTCGCCCCGCCTCGCCGCCTCGCCCGCCTCGCCCGCCTCGCCCCGCCTCGCCCCGCTCGCCCCGCTCGCCCGCCTCGCCCCCGCCTCGCCCCGCCTCGCCCGCTCGCCCCGCCTCGCCTCGCTCGCCCCGCCTGCCCTCGCCTCGCCCGGCCTCGCCCGCCTCGCTCGCTCGGCCCCGCCTCGCCCGCTCGCCCGCCTCGCCCGCTTCGCTCGCTCGCCCGCCTCGCCCCGCCTACGCCCGCCTCGCCCGCCTCGCCCCGCTCGCCCCGCCGCCCCGCCTCGCCCGCCTCGCCTCGCCCCGCTCGCCTCGCCTCGCCTCGCCTCGCCCCGCCTCGCCCGCCCGCCCGCCTCCCCCGCCGCTCGCCCGCCTGCCCTCGCTCTCGCCTCGCCTGCTCCGCCCGATCTGCTCCGCCTCGCCCCGCTCTGCCCACCCCGCTCGCTCTGCCCACCCGCCTCGCTCTGCCCCGCACGCTCGCTCTGCCCCGCCCGCTCGCTCTGCCCGCCCCGCCGCCTCGCCCCGCTATACTCCTGCCCTGCCGCACCCTCCCGCCTCACCCCCGCCTGCTCCGCCCGAACGGCACCTTGCTCAGCCCCGCCTCGCCCCACGCAGCACTGCTCACCCGCCCCACCCGCTCTCGCGCTGCTCGGGAATGGAGCGAGCGCCGGCCGCTTTTTTACGAGCCCAGCGGAACGAGCGCCGGAAATTATTGCGCAGAGCTCAATGTCTGCCTCGTTCTAAAAATGCGCTGCTTTGTAAAATGCACCGTTCTACGACGTTCATTAATGATTATTTCGTCTCTGAATAAGATAATTTAGGTGTAATAAGCTTATGATTAACTTACATTAAAATTAGCGACAATGATCCAAATACCGTATTGCGCTACGATCAATGTTTGTCTCGTTTTGAAAGTGCCCTACTTTGTTAAATGTAGCGTTTGAAACATGTTGATATAATGATGTTCATTAGTAATTATTATATATTTCAATAAGCTACTTTGTAATCACGAACTGCAAACAAAAGCAGTAATTGCGTTGTCTTCATTTTTAAAATTATGTACATTTGTAAATTGTAATCGTATTATGTTCTACGATATTTTCTCAGTTGTCAGTTACAGTGAAATTAACTTCCCTAAGATGAGTTGGGACAAAGTTGGCAATTTACGAACAATATATTCTTACACAAAACAACTATAGGCGATTATAGTTATTGCGCTGTTCTGAGGGTTTTCATAATTTTGTCAAAATCAGTTAGTAAAATGCGACAATGTGATAGCTCCTGTAATGAAGTTAATTAGTTTTAATTTCATTTTTAAAGAAACTAATAGTTACTTTTTGAAGTAATGAACTTTCTCTTCGACTGCAAATTACTCCACATAATTTTAAAGTCAATTATGTTAAACTGAGCTGACTCGGATGTATGAGATCGCTAAAGCTGAAGAGCCGTATTGACTTGAAGGGTCACAGGTTCAAAAAAAAGTTCATATGAATGATACACAATTTTTCATTTTTAGATTATTGCAACTGATTTCTTTTGATAATGATTAGAGAGTCATAAGGCAAAGCGTTTAGAGATTTCTGAATATTTTGAAACATTGCAAGAGTTCCTGCAAATATATATTTTTCATTAGTTTATACTGCTGAGCTCGAAGATGAAATAACTGTATTTGTTATTAAATATATCACAAAAACTGCCAAGTTATTTCTTTTAAGAATTATTTATTTTCAAATTCCAGTTGTTTCACTCATGCAACGTGTCACCGTATCTAACTTTCCTACTTCCTAGAATTTCTTCTCGTAGAAAGTAAAACAATGGAGCGTGTGAATTCATGAACAGTCGAAAAGTAGATGTATAAAGCAGTACTTTTTCCAATTGAACTGTATGAAACTTTCCAATTGAACCAATTGAAAGTAGAAAAATAATGTTATTCTTCTGAAATGCGAGTTGGCGCATTCAGACAAAGAGACATCTCTTAGCTGTGTCAGCGCGCTAATTCTCAATCAAAATCTAGTGCCTCATCTACAATAATCGATTCATAGAGCGGTGCAAACTTTTGATCGGACACAATCGCACAAAGTGCATGATGAGTTCAAGCTTTGAAGCACCACTTCCTGGCCAAAGCCTGCAGCTTCATCATATCACATGAGTCAATGCACCAATGTTTGATTCATTTTGCATCCGTGAATATCGTTGTTTACCTCGCCCATTGCAAAGCAAAGACCTCACAGTTTCTCGTCAATAAAGGACAGAGGAATTCCACTGTTAATAAGAGTCTATATTCTGATAACAATCTATATTTGGAAAGCGAACCGCATAAGGAATATGAGCAAAGAGCAAATGTGGCATAGAAAGCTATAGCTAAACTACTTCCTGTATATTCCCGAATTTTGTATTCATTGATTCTTTATACTGGTATTTCAGCAGGTTAAATAAAGTTAAAGAAATCTTACGGACTGAACTTGCCGTTAACGTACTACGCCGTAAAATCTGCAGCACAGATCGTTGCAAAAACCTTCAGAACCTGAGGCAATTGCTCTGTTAAATGAAGTACAAAATATTCTTAATACAGTTTTTTCGTAGGGTTTTTATTCAGCCGACGGAGATATTCAAACTTGAAAATTATTTCAAACAATAAGATTTTTTATTGCCGCAATGTAAATTAAAACAAGGACCTACAAAGCGTTGATTCTGACAGCACAAGATATTATGAAAAGACATTTACTACATACAGTAGAAAAATTATCCACTTATTCCGTGGACCCACAAAACGATTTTTTTCTGGAGAAAAATCATCCTATTCGGCTGCTAAATTACAATATTTTTTCTATAGTACTTGTACGTAAGTATTACGTGAGAGATTACTTGAAAACAGAAATTAAAAGTCATTAACATCAAAAGTAGTTTCAGAATGTATGTAAGAATGAACTATGTAAATATGAATAGTTTGGTAAATAAAATGAAACCGTGAATTTGTACCTCATTCGCATTCTAAAAATATAATATTTAGTACAATTCCATGAATGGATGAACATAATAACCTCCAACAAATTAAATTGTAAATGGAATAATATAATTTTATAATATATTAAATAATAAATTCTTTTATACTATCCTTTTCTAAGTAAACTCTCTACAATAATAGCAATGTTTACAACCACATCGCTGTTATAGTAAAGAAATACAACCCAATTTAAACATATGTTGCACAACCTTCTCAATGTTCTCCTGAGTCCCAATCAATGTTGAACTGAAGAAAGGGACGTGTCCCCGTGTCCCCACGAATATAACAGCAAATACAGAAAATTTTCAAATTTAGTATATGTAAAAACATGAATATGCTTTCAGACAAATCTGCAGGAAATGTTTGTAAAATCTTTCTAAATTCATGTAATATTAACTTCTCATTAAAACTATTTCTTCCTTGAACGATATTTCAACTTATTGTGTATATTCCCCTTTGACCACACTTCAATTAATGGTTGCAATTGATGGTTGCAGATTAGCACTGGTTGCAACTGTTAACTTTTACAGAACGCAGAGGCATTGGAGATCTAACCTATCGGTACAAATGAAGAAACTTGAAAGCACTGACCTCGACGGATAGTAATTCAATGATCATTTCTTTTCCAGTATGTGCCGTGGGAACATTAGATAACATGGCACATGTAACTTCACAGTTTCAATCCCGGAAATTATATTATTAATTTTACTATACCAAGCTTCACAAATCGATTTATACAAATCGAGGTCTGTACAAGTGTCATAAAGTTACTCCATCCTGTTTTGGATGGCACGGAGTAGATTTTATAATTGCTAATTTCTCGCATCAAAATTATTGGCGGGTTACTCCTATTCTGACCAGCCGGCAGTTAATCTGCAAGCACTGACACGCTGAGAGGTAGGCCTGCTAATGGCGCGAAACGGTTGGAAGTACTTACATGATGATGGAAGGCAGTGGCGAAACTCAAATGTGTAGTCATCTTCTTTACGGAACCTCCAACTTCTTGGTCGGTGATACATCTTCGTAGTTCGTAAAGCAATCCAGTCGTTTGTGATGGTTTTTTATCACGTTATAAGAAATAGATGAAAAGTGATGCAAAGACTTTCATCTCCCATGTTGCTGATAAACTTCACCTGAGCAGTACGATCTGCAAGACAGCACTGTCACACGATGTTCACTCGTTGAACGATTCAAATACACTGAGTTGTTTCTAGCGCGGTGAAAGTAGAGGGCGCTAGTGACAAGATTGTGCTAAACAACGATTTGAAGACGAGTTGAAAGTGTTCAGAATAAGATAGGAAATTGTTTGTTTTTTACTTTCCTGCGGCCTTATAATATTTATTAGATTATAATATTTTTATAAAACAAAAATATGTGACATTTCATTATTTATATGATTCAATATTAAAAAAGTCAATATTTGTTGCGATTTCTTATGTTTTGTACCGCATTTTTGGCTTCTCTTTTATAAGCTACAATGTTTTTACCACATATTACAAGTCACAGAAAATTTTTAAAATTATTTAATTTTCATGTTTGTTTCCGTACAACTTTTTAACTACAACTTTCACAGCTACTTTTTCTTGTTCCGAACACATCTTTATACAATTTTAAGTAGTTCCTAGCTTTTCTTTTCATGATCTATCTCGTGAAATTGAACACCACGGGAACAATGGTTTGAAGAAATTCTCCAAAAATTCAAATCAGAGTGATCGAATTACTCAACCTACACTCGTGTTAGTTCCGTCGGAAATCAAACGAAAATGAAGATGGTGGGAAGACAAAAAGGGATCGGTTGTTGCAATATTAACCTATTTGTGCAGAACATCAAACTGCGCAAGAGCTACTTGCCCACCTGGGAAGCCCGGCGTTCTTGTGACCTTACACAACGACCACTTACTCCGCTCTCATTTGCTCTCCAAATATACAAAGCAGAGTACACGTGCAAGCTCAAGTGAGTAATGCCAGTACAATGCGTGCTCGAAGTATCACGAAGAATGTTGGTTTCATACGAAAATGGTTGCATGTTTTTTTTTATCAAACAACCGAAATTTGAATTATGTTTACATGATTTACTACTTATTTTTAAATTCTCTCTTGTATAAACATTTTGTCAAGGAACAGAAATATGTTTTAATATAAACTTCTTTCCTTATTTTCGTCTTGTTTTGTTTTACTAAATAACTCCGTTATTTTATGTATAGCAATAGTGTAAAATATCTATTTTGTCAAAGGACCCGACAGCTTTTTTTAACCAGAAAGTTAGACGTTTATGCATATATTGCACTATCTAGTAAATGTGAATTCGAAGCAAGATGTTTTCGTTTTAAAATGTTTAATTTTAAAATGTTTAATTAAAATAGCTAAAATAAATGTCGGATAGATTAGAATGTACTCGGCTTCTGACGGCAGGTTTTTCCCCCTTCAGGGGTTTTTTCCTGAGCCGTACCTTGTGGTCTCTTTTCCGCGGCTTTGATGCGATGAAGAGACCATTGGGGGTGAATACCAGAATTCGAAAGATTAGAACGCGAAAGGATGTAGGTATTGTAATGGCTTAAAGGCCTTCGGCCTAGCCACATAGGATCAAGTAATCTAATTTGTTTGTAATAATTACCTATTAAATAAAAATAAATAAAATGTTTAATTTTACTCTCAACTGACAATTTGAATTATAATTGATGATTTCCTTTTAATAATTCCGTTATTTGATGAATAGCAATAATGTAAAATAACTATTTTGTCAAAAAACCAGACAGCTTTTTTAACCAGAAAGTTAGACGTTTATGCGCATATTGCACTATTTAGTAAATGTTAATTCGAAGCAAGATGTTTTTGTTTTAAAATGTTTAATTTTACCCTCAACTGACAATTTGAATTATAATTGATGATATCATTTTAATAGGTAGTTTATTTCCTTTAATGTAAAAAAAATAAATTAATATTGCTACACTTGGTGCAATAACTGGCAACTGACTTCTCCAAACGGCTGTCATAGGTCACGTATCTAGTAAAGTACCACTACCGGGGGAAAATTGTACAACCCTTACTTTTAAATCTGGCAACAATGTCTCAGCAAGCAATGTCCGCAAAGTCTACAAAGCTAGGTACCTTGTCCACGACCTTGACACTTGATTAGGGGAGCTGAGTATTGTAAACGGCTTATGCGTGTTCTTCCCTTACGTTGCATTGTAAACAACCTCTGGTTACGCACAAGGTTGCTGATACACATTTTCCTCTTGTTATGGCGTCCCGTTATTTTGTTTCTCTATGTGAAGTGCTACGCAAACATAAAGGGAACTTGATCTATTACATTGTCTAGGCTCTCCGGGACGAACTGCGTCTCTGTCGTGGTGGCTGACGTTTTGGTGTTGTAGCCTTCCTCAGAGCGTACTGCCTCATCAGTATGCTCTTGAGGAAAACCACAATATGTTGGCCAGAACGTCACTCACCTCGTCAGAGACGCCTCTTATCTCAAACTGCCTAGAGAATACAAACCCCGAAGGCAGAAGGCTAGGAATACTTGATCTATTACAATTCTTGAAGGAAGTCTATACTCCTTACTTCCAGAGAAACGACGCCCTCGGACACCATATCTCTTTAACGTTCTATTGTAGTGAACCATGATTTGGTTGCTTTTATTAATAAAAATAAGGAATTATTTTTCCAAGGGACTCTGTTTCCAGAAGAAACATCTATGTATGTATAAAGAGTATGAGAGTAGTATTAATGTATTATTCTACTTTATTTATAATTATTTATAATTAATAATCTTAATATAATATATAATTAATTTAATTTTTCATAAAACATACATGCACATCAATTTGTTAATAATTATCTATTGCACTATATCAATGCACTATAGGTGTATACAAGATTAATGGAATTATATACTTTTCATTTCGTCGAGGTTTTATCTGTTTATAAATAGTTTCTCTTTAGTTTCTACACTTCTTTCTGCTAATTCTTATACTGTTGATCCTACTCTTCCAATCTCTACACGTTATGAGAACTTTTATTTTTTTTATAATTTTCCACTGTTCACATGAGTATAACATGAATTAACGTTTTTTACCTTATTCAGGATTTGCTTGTTAATGCTTATAACATGGTGCTTTTTAATGGTTATAATATGGCGTTATCGTGCTTCTCTCGTCTGCGAGCAATAATTTTCTTCATTTTATGTCTGCTCCCAGCTGTAAACTATTTTTGCGGCACAGGAAACTATTTCATCTGACATAATTTAACTTCTTTTGCATTAAAAAAGTTAACAAACAAGTGGAACATATTAAACCTAAATAGTGCACATGACGATAGGGATGTTTTTTAAGGTCGGTTTTTAAGTGTTAGGCCATGTAGTGACAACTGCGATTGTTTACATGGCGATCCTGTAGGGAAACACGTACGGAACATTGGAATAAGCCCACACAAACATCCATGCCCGAGGCGGGATTCGAATCCACGACCCTTCGAGCAGAGGCAACTACGACCCCACAACCTTAGCGATCTAGGTCATCTAGGCTGGCCAGAGAAGCATTGAACACTCTACGAATACTTTATACCTTATACTTTATACCTTAGGTCTTTCATCTCTCGAGATAATGTAAAGTATCCCTTCAACGTCGTGAATAACAAATTAATACTTGTTGCAATCAATGGCCACTCGTGCTCATTCCTTGAAGTTAGTGTTTGAAGCGAGTGGCTTTTTACGATGCAGTTTTTACATGCGCTTGAGTTTCGATGACATCACAGCGGCAGAAGCAGAGTTTACTTGACTTGTTTGTGCTAATAATAACTCCTCTCAAAATTTGTGGCACTCCATTACACGTCACTTACGAAGCGATTAATCAATAATTTCCCGATTAAACGGTTACCTACTAACATAAAGCGGATCACATTTCATTAACAGATAATCCAATCTCAAAGTACCAACACAAGTATGTGTTAAAAGCCATTGTGGAATTAAAGTGTGTTTTTTTTAAAACTAAAAATTAGTTTAAAATTAGTTTTAGGATTTAAATTTCAACAGTTGAGCAAGTGTTCGTATTTTCCTAAAGTATCCCAGTGAATGGTGTCTCAGAATAACAAGAATTAGAACAATTGCACTCGAATACGTAGCAGAGAGTCTAAGTTTCTAAATATCTTCTAGGTTTAAGAGATGACACCGAAACTAGATTCGCACCTAAATCCAATGCACATTACAAGAGTGAACATACGCTGCATGAGTGCGCTTAGAGAGCTAATGTTCATTTTACTAGGCTAAATATATTACGGACGTAATAGGACGACTAGGCTAAAAATATTATGGACGTAGTTTCCATTGCTGATGAAATGGAATGCGTGATGGACGTTGACCTCAGCGCATCGAACCCATTGGCTTAACCGATATTACAGTTGGGACTGAAACTAGGAATTATATCGAAAGCAGCAACGACGTTCTAAAAATACATTTTATACGATGACTTTATAAGGTCAACATTTGACACTTCGTGTGGCATCGAAAAGGAAGCAGGTCTTCGTGACGGGTCCCGGATTTGAAATAAACATGCTTCACACGAACAACAATCACGGCACTTTCTTATCGTGCGTAAGTAAAAAAACAAAGTTCAATGTACTTACCAGATTTCATTAAAGATATATTTTATTGTGACATTATATAAATGAGGTGTCACACGTTTCTCTGGTATTATTTGTTCAAAATATATTGGACAGCAATTCTATTTATTCCCACTTAATGCCCATTTTTATCTAATTTTGTGCAGCCTCTTCCCACTCCTAAATTTTCAGTCTACTCCACGTACATGCCAACTAAAATATTTACGAAATCTGGACTAAAAGAAAAAGAAGCAGCATTTTATATATCACACCAAGTTAATAACGTACACTTTCCCACAAAAATCATCTAATCTGTCACACTTTTAGTGTCAATGTAAGTATTTATCAGATCTTAATTAATGACTTTTCCGTGATCTGAAAGGAAACTAAACAACCACTCATCAGGGAAAATATACATGTTGAGTAGTTCTTTCAATACTATTAAGATATTCATTAATTAATTCTTCT